TTTGACTCAGATACACACTCTTTATACAAGCATTCTATTTTTTTTTTATACAAGCATTCTATATCCCACCACCTAGAATAGAGCCATAAGCAGGAAGGAAAAAAAAAAATACATCTATAGGAATTAAATGGAAAAAGAAATTAAAGCCAGAATTCGTTGTGGCATTTTGATGGGCCTTAAGTGAACAAAATCTGAAGTAATTATTGTGTAACAGGGAATAAATGAAAAAAAAAAATAGGAAAAACTTACCTGCTACATGAAAACATAGGAAGAATAAAAAATAAGTATATTTAGATCATAAAAAGACTTTGTGGCTTCTTCTGCCACTTGCTCTGAGGGGAAATAGCTACTATGTCATGAGGATACACAGATTCTGACTTGGTGAGTAACTGAAGCATCCTGCCAAGAGCTACAATAAGCAAGCCATCTTGGAAACACCTATCTAGCCCCAGTCAAATCTTCAGATGACTGCAGCGGCCAACCTTTTCACTACAATCTCATGAAACCCGAAGCCAGAACCACCCAGCTAAGCCTATCCACTTCTAACTCTCAGAAACCACTGTGTAATAACAAATGTCTGTTCCTTTAAAAGTTGCTAAATTTGAAAGAAATTTGCTACACAGCAATAAAAAATAGCTAATACAACTGGCAAGGTGTAAAATTTGACTCTGTTTATATAAGACTCAATAAAGTCTTGTGCTAGGAACTAGGGCAAAACATACACCTTGGAATTAAAAGTCTCACAGCAATACGCAAGATGGATGAAGCGGAAAGCATTTTTCTCTTCCCGTCTTCCACAATATTCAATAAAGAGTCCTGCACATAGTAAATACCTGTTTGGTTAGCAAATCAACTTACAGGATTCTCTGACTCAACATAGTAGCCTTAACTTTTCTTAAAAGTAAAATGACCCCCTAGAATCTCTCCATAAATTCAGTCCTGAAGTCTGTAGTTTTTTCGTGATTTGTTTCATGCACAGAACCATGCCTTAAACTGGGAGTTACAGGTTATCAAAGAAAACTGAGACCTACTAAAAGCTCTTTTCCCTAAACTTAATCAAAATAAAAGGTCATTTAAAAGAATGACTTTAGAGACTATGGACAGCTGCTTCAGAGTTGAAGAGGTAAATACTGAAAGGAGTTAATCATAAAGTATGAGCAAAAATTACATAAAAGTATTGTATTGCCTCAACCATACAGATCCTTAATAAATCTTGATGATAACTTCAGCAAGCAGCCTTCTGGTATGAACAGGACTTAAAAATTTAGACTCCAAATTGGAAGATCTTCCCAGTCATACCACTGAGAAATTGGGCAATATAAGCCCGTTTTCCCAGCATCAGAGCAGTATCAGTTACACCTCAAAGTTTGCAACCCCCTAAGATTGGGATTACAAATCTTGATCCACAAAATGATAAGGGCCTGTGGCCTTTCCTGATCACTAAGTTTCATACTTATATGCCTTTCCCTATTACCCCCATCCTTACACATGCACTTTTCACTTGGCATGGATTTACCCAGAAAGGCAGATAAAAGTGGCTGATAGTGGTCTTGGCTTTTCAAAACAAGTCATGGCTTCTATTCTATCTAGTTGGAGGGGGAAGGGGGAACACACATATACATATATGTGTGTGTGTGTGTGTGTGTGTGTATATAATACATTGTTATATGTCTGTATATATATGTATATATTATATATATAAATTATATATAATTTCTTTTGTAGTTGTTTCATTTCATACATATACATGTATGTTTACATGTATACATATATATATGAATGAAACTACAAAAGAAATCATCAATTCACTTACACAGAAAAGGTAAGAATACTTCCAGTGTATAATTTGATTCAATAGCTAGAATTTGTGAACTTAAAAAATTTCAGAAGTATTTTAAATTCTAAAATTCTATTTAAAAGTTAGTCTCTGAAATTAACTTAAAAGACGGTAATTATTTTTTTAAAGTGGTAATTTTTAAAAAATACTTAAGCTTAGGTTTGAAGTAAAAGAAAAAGTAGTTCACAGTGGTCTCAAACAGCTAAATATTCCCCTAAAGAAAATAAATTTGATATCAACATTAAGGTTTTCTAACTTTACCAAAATAAACACACTAATATGCTTATTCTGGTTTTGAATAACTTTCTCATGGGGAAAATAATCAATGTTTTTGTAGCAATTGTCATTTATTCATTTTATAAATCAGTCATTTTTCACCACACAACATTTCCACTAGATGTTTATAAACTGACACCTTGGATCTGAGCTTTAAATATCTAAGTCTTTATATCTAAATGTTTCTTAAAAAGAAGCACTTACAATTAAAAACACTTAAGATAGTTCAACAAATTCCAAGGTATGTTAAACTCAAAAGTATGATCTAATTTCAAAGTAAGAGAAAAACTGAACAGGTATTAGAAGAAACAGTAAATTTTAATAATAAAATTATTTTTATAGGAATGCCCAAATTTTTTAAAAGCACTAAAATCACGATATCCTTACATCAGTTACAAAAGTAATTACGGCCTCCTACCATGAAATCAATTTATAAAATCTACATAGATTAATGTAATCTGCAGAACAGTTACTAAGAACTGTGAATCCTTTCCAAATTTAAAAGGACCCTTAAGGGCAGCCCGGGTAGCTCGGCGGTTTAGCGCCGCCTTCGGCCCAGGGCATGATCCTGGAGACCGGGTATCGAGTCCCACATCGGGCTCCCAGCGTGGAGCCTGCTTCTCCCTCTGCCTGTGTCTCTGCCTCTCTGTGACTCTCATGAAAAAATAAGTAAAAATCTTTAAAAAAAAAAAAGGGACCCTTAAGGAAAAAAAAAACTTAAAGGCAACAAGGGGGCATTTAAGAATGAAGATTAAGACTACCATATCCAGTTTCACTAGCAAAACTTTTTCATACAAGTGATAATCTTTCACTCTGAAACAGTAAAAAGATTACAATATTTTGCACTCTCTAATGTTTAAGCATTAAGAAAAGCAAGTATGTTTGATTATCAAGCTTTAACCTTATTTGGACTAGTGGCACTAATATCTTAGTCCTTACTCTGAAATATGATGTAAAAATTAGATATTCCAGTGATTATCTTATAAATATGAAATGAAGCCAAAACTCCACTTCCTGAAATATTACTTGACCAATAATAGTTCATCTCCTAAATGGATGTAGCAAATAGTAACTTAAAAAAAAAAAAAAATCCTGGCACATACAGCTTGTTATTTGAGTTGAGTATTCTAACTCTTGTGAAGTGGAAGTAGGAGGCTTGAGAACCTTTGTTCGGATCCAGCTCTTCCACTCCATACTTAGTTTTTGAGTAAGACAATTTGCTTCACCTGTTAAATGGAAGTCAAAGTAATTCCTATCTTGCACCAGAGTTGTGAGAATGAATAGAGACATTTAAATTGTGCAGTGCTAAAGCTGGATAAATGGAAGAACTGTGCTAGATGTTAACTGTATAAACTGATGTCAACTTTCAAATATCTGCTGGTACCAATGGACGAGGATATAACAAAATGATAAATAACATATGCTTCATTGTGTGGGTCACATCAATTTTTAATCATCTTGAAGATTCTCCTTCCTGCCATACCTACATAGTTCAGCACAGTCTCTCTAGGGTTTGTACAGTCTACTTTACTCCATCCATCCAAGGTATTTTCTTCTCTAGATATCAAAGTAAATGTCGAACTGAATCTAGTGCTATATTTTCATGTTATTTAGAGTTTTGTATCCCTTGCAACATTAACTATAAACCAAAGTGTTCGTTTTATTAGTTACCAATCCGAATTCCTAAAACCTCAGAATACTTAAACTTTTAAAGACAAATCAAAACCGATGGTTAAAAATTCTACTGTTCACCAAAACATTAATAGGTGGTCAAAATAAAGGCCAGGAGCAGTATAATAGGCATGACATGGTTGTCTCTGTGTTCTAAAAAAAAAAAAAAAAAAAAAAAAAAAAAAAGTACATTAAAAACCAATTAGTTAAAATAGGAAGTTTTCCAAAGGGATGAGAAGTAGTAACTGAAACACACTAATGCAATAAATCTTAATGTCTCCAAAAAATGAAGCGCATTTTCGACTGTATCCATGTTATTTCTAACAAGCTTTAGAAAAAGGCTACTTATTTCTTCAGAGATCTCTCCGATCCAGGACTTTAATGTTACCGTCTAAAAAATCATGACATTCCTGTTAAAGACTACAAACCACATGCCAATATGGTGTGCCTTCCGGGCTGCACCTCATTACGATTCCCAATTCTTTGATCCCTTAAAGTCATCTTAAAGGACATCAATCCATTCATTATTCTCGTCCACAATTCCTACAAGTGTTTTTGAACTTTCTCCCCACGTTTAGTCACAAAGCAAAATACAAGTCAGCAAAATCACTTTGGAGGGCGTATTTAACGACTACACGCGAGAAATTTCAGAAGCCCTGACCAAATTACAAAAGGCCAGTCGTCGTTTTCCTTCTAAGCGGCGAAAAGTGATAGTCGGGGGGGGGGGGGGTCTCCTCCCTGAACAAGGAAGTTCTGTTAAATCCAGGCGAGACCAGCCATGTTGGAAAACACTTGTCAGTCACAGTTCTGACAAGGGTTCGCGAACACGGTCGGACCGGGCGAACCCTGTGTACCGGCGTGTGCACCTCAAGGCCCTCGGTAGCTCCGCCAGGGGATCGGGGCCTACTTTGAGGGCTGTTTCGGACTTGGAGCTGTCCGTAGGTCCGTCCGGAGCGCAGAGCCGCGGGGGGAAAGAGGGCGGGGAAAAGGGGACCTGGGGGGGGGGGGCTGGCCGCAGAGTTGCGGGCGGCCTTCCGCGGCGAGAGGGGCGCGGCGGGCAGGGGAGATTTCCGAGTTGGGAGCCGGGGGGAGGGGCCGCGGATTTGGGGCGCAGGGGATCTCAGTAAAAAAAAAAAAAAAGTCCCCTCGTGCCCCCCTCTGAGAGGCGCACGAGCGCAGAAAGGAGAAGGGAAGGGGACACCCTGCGGGCACTGACCTGTCCTCCGAGTCCATGCGGCTCAGGGGCTCCCCGTCCGACGACATCTCCAGGCTGCCTCGCCGGCCCCCGGAGGTCGCGCTGCTTCCGCCGCCCCCGGTCCCGTAACCCTCGTCGCCGCCGCTGGAGACGACGCTGCTGCTGCTGCTGCTGCTGCCGCCCCCGCCGCCGCCCTGGCTGCCCCGGGGTCCCTTGGGCTCCTCCAGGCCCTCCTTGCCGTCCCCATCCCCGCTGCTGCTGCTGGCGGCGCCGGGGCTCAGCGAGCGCGTCTCGTCGCTGCTGCTCCCGCCGCTGCTGCTGCCCACCAGGCTCTCGGCGCTACTCTCCTCCTCGCCCCCGCCGCTGCTGCTGCTCTCGTCCTCCTCCTCCTCGTCCTCCTCCTCGTCCTCGTCCTCGCCGGCCTGGCTGGCGCTCTCGGGGCTCGGCTCCGACATCGTCTCCGCCTCGCCGCCCCCCACTCCGCCGCCGCCGCCGCCGCCGCCGCCGCCGCCGCCGCCGCCGCCGTTCAGCAGCAGCGCTGCCACCGCCTCGGCCTCGGCCTCGGCCTCCGCCTCCTCCTCCTCCTCCTCCTCTTCCTCCTCCTCCTCGGGGGGCTCAGCCCGGCCCCGCGCCGCCGGGCCGGGGCTGCCGGGGGGCAGAGGGCTCAGGCGAGAGAGCTCCTCCAGGTCGGCCATGTCGGTGATAGCGGCGGCCATGGCGGCGCCTGCTCCTCCTCCTCCTCCTCCCCGCCGCCGCCTCCCTCTCCTGACTCTAGCTCCCTCGCTCGCCCCCTCCCAAACGCCCGAAACTCCGCCGCCGCCGCCGCCGCCGCCGCCGCCGCCGCCACCGCCGCCGCAGAGCAGGAGGAGGGCCCGCGAGCTGCGTCAGCCTGCACACGCGCTACGGAGCCCGCGCGGGGACAGGCGCGCCGCCGCGCGCACTCACGCGGAGACGGCTGCGCGCCTGCGCGGCGGCCCGAGGTGGCGCCTCCCCCGGCCGCGGCGCCCGCGCCCCCGCCCCGCCCCGCCCCGCCCCCGCCCGCGCCCCGCCCCCCCGCCGAGGGCTCAGACTTTCCTCGGGGTCTTCCCACGCCCGCTCCGGGCCTCGCGGCCGCCGGCGGAACACGCAGAACGAAAGCTTGAGCGCTGGCCGGGGATTTTAACAGCCTTGCGAGTTCTCACGATAAAGTCATTCATTCCGGGGATGTCTGGGGAGTCCCCCCGCCCGTGTGCAGGCGACGAGCCAGGAGTCAAACAAGTCCCCGCTCCTCCGAGAGCTTGCAGCCCACGAGGGGAGGTGCTGGCGACGGGTGAAGACAAGTAACACGACGCGAGCTGCTAAACCCACGCGCGCGGCCTGGAGCCACAGGTCTCGGGCCACCCATGGTTTCAACGCCCCCCAGGAACCGGTTCGATGAGCCGCCCTGCCAGCAGGTCTCCTGTTCGGATCTTCCAACTCTTCAGCTAACGAGTCCCCTGGATTCCGTACATCCTTACACAGTTTAAAAAGACGTCTGCACTTTTTTGCCCCCAACTGGTTGTGAATATTTTATCATTGTCACACTTTTAAATATAGCCAGCCAACTCCAAATATTGCAGTTCTGAGACCCACCAAATCCACTTTTTAAAATACGGTTTCTTTGATACTTGGGCAATTGCCATCTTTCCTTTATCTTCCGTGTTTACATTCCACATCCCTCCAGAATTTTCATCCTAATAATAGGTTTTTATGCCTCTTTTATTAATCATCTACTAGTCCCTTGTAATAAAATGAAATAAATTGAAATTGAGGATCGTTTTTGAGTTTCTTGTGACCACAAAATTTGAAGCTTTATTATTTCGAATGATCAAAGCACGTTTTTTGGATATTTATGTAAGAGGGGCGCTTGGGTGGCTGGCTATGTCCGTTAAGCCTTGACTTTTGGTTTCAGCTCAAGTCAGGATTTCAGTCCTCAGATTGAGGCCTAGGTAGGGCTCCTCACTCAGCTAGGAATCTCTCTTTCTTTCTCCCTCCCTTCTGCCCCTCAGCGCTCCTGCCCGTACTCTCTCTCTCTTTCTAAAATAATAAATAAATCTTTAAATACTTACATAAGTATTAAACACAGGAGTAAAATGTTGTTGGAAATGCATCTTACAGAGATAGAACTGCTGGTTCCCACTACTTTTTTGTTTGTTTTTCAAGTAGGCTCCACACTCAGCATGGAGACCAAGGTAGGACTTGAACTCAAGACCCTGAGATCAAGACGTGAGTTGAGATCAAGAGTTGGACCTTTAACCAACTGAGCCACCCAAATGCCCCCAACTAGTTTATTTTATTGATGGATGAGTATCACTAGAATGAGAACAAGTTCAACATCAATTCTATTTCAAGTTTTCGGTTCCATGGATGTACTCAATGAGGAAACTTGTTCGCATAAATAAGTAGATGAAAATGAATGGAGTTTTTAGTAACTTGATTCTTTGAACTCCTTCCAAATTATATGCCAAAAGAATCACAGAAAGATCTAACAAAAAATATATATATTTTTTTAATGATCCATCAGCTGACAACCCTGATTAGGTTCTCTTTCAATTGTTGAAAGCAAGTTGTTGAAAACCATCTGACTTCTAAGGTTGTGTTATCCATTCTCATTCACCAGTTGTTCCTTTTTTGACATCCTGGAGATTTTTGTTTCACCCCTGGGGTATTGCACTTTGGTAGGATTTGGGGTGGAGAAGAATTATGCTTTTCTTTTGTAAAGTAGGGAAGGGGCAACTGGGATAAGGAAGGGTGGAAAGAACTTTACACTCTGACACCAGAGGTGTATCTTCAGGCAGATCACTTTTAGGGACAGCCACCTAAGGGAAGTGCCCATCTGAGAACTGATTGCATTAAAACAGTCTCCTGTTAGGGGGCGCCTGGGTGGGTCAGTGGGTTAAACATCTGCCTTCAGCGCAGGTCATGATCCTAGGGGCCTGGGATAGAAGATCCTGGGATTGAGCCCTGTGTGGGACTCCCTGCTCCGTGGGGAGCTGCTTGTCCTCTCTCAGCTCATGCTCATGTACACTCACACCCTCTCTCTCTTTCTCTCTCTCAAATAGATAAATAAAATCTTTATAAAACAAAAACAGAGTCTCCTGCTTCATAGATTATGAGTACCCAAGTATTATGCCCACTACCTTAGGCCTTTGGACAGCTGTTATATGTCCCATATGTTCCTCAAGGGAAAGCAAAAATTGAAAAAATAATAGTATGGGGCATTTGGGATGCCTGGGTGGCTCAGTGGTTGAGCGTCTGCCTTTGACTCAGGGCCTGATCCTGGGGTCCTGCGACGGAGTTCCACATTGGGCTCCTCACAGAAGCCTATAGTCTTCTCCCTCTGCCTATGTCTCTGCCTCTCTGTGTCTCTCATAAATAAATAAATAAAAATCTTTTAAAAAAAATAGTATGGGGCATTATGGTTTACAGTTAACTTTCCACGCACATATAATGCAAAATATTCCCCTCACACATTTCAACCTCAAAGCCACTATTTGAGATAGACCAGAAGTGTGTTATCCTGTATTGTAAAGTAAGTGCTTTCAGAGAGTTTAACTGAAAAGTGTATGTGCCAAGCACTGTATTAAACCTTGAAAATTAGGGTTAACATTTAGCTGAGCTAATCAAGGAAAATTTCATGAAGAATGTAGGATTTGAACAAATTTATACAATAAAATATATAACTGTGTGAGTTTGACTTGAGCTGAATCTTGAAGAGTGAACAGAATTCTGCTTACGGGGGAATTCTAGGACTGAGAAGAAATAACATGGAAAGGCATAAAAATTTATTCATAAAAAAATAAATAAAATAAAAAATAAAAATTTATTCATGATAGTGTCAATCAGGTACGAGAAAGCAATCTGGAAAACTAAGAAAGAGTTAAAGATCAGATCGCATAAAATCTTGAATAAAAAATTTGATTTTGAAAGACAACTAGCGTGTACTGAGATATTTTCCAAAAGGTGTGATGAGGGGCACCTGGGCGGCTCAGTGGTTGAGCATCTGCCTTTGGCTTGGGTTATGATCCTGGGGTCTTTCATGGGGCTCACTGCAAGGAGCCTACTTCTCCCTCTGCCTATGTCTCTGCCTCTCTGTGTCTCTCATAAATAAATAAAAATCTTTAAAAAAAAAAAAGGTATGATGATACGATTAAAGTTATTTGTAATGGTATGTAATGTATAGGACCTAGAAGAAAAATGTGAAGAGAGTGAAAGTGAATGGGGATTAAACGTGTAGAAGTGGCAAATATCAAAACCCAGAAGTTCTCTCCCTCCTCTCCAACCCCTCCCTCTCCCCTGTCCCTTCCTCTCCCTCTCTTCTAACTCCACCTCTACCCACCCTCTCTCTGTCTGTCTGTCTCCGGGCCTGGATTCAAGCGCAGAGGTCATTACTCTGCATGTATCTCCTTAGAACAAGGCCACTCTCCTACGTAACCACTCACTGAAGTGTGTGACTAGAGGACAGACTTGTGGATGATGGAACTCCTTCAGATGGCCTCGGTGAGAGGTAGGATGAAAACATGAATCGCAAGAAGCAGTGCCTACCAACCAGTGCACATGCATGAACACCCCCATAAACTGTTACCTGCCTGTAGCTAGACAAGTACTGAAATTAGCTTATGGAAACTTTTATAACACATTGACAGAATAATTTTATGCCTACTGAATCTAAGAATAAACAATTGGGGCTCATATTTTGATGTCAGTTTTTTCTATTATTCTGGTAATTTACCTTTATAGTATTTTTTTTTTTTTAGATTTTATTTATTTATTCATGAGACACACAGAGAGAGGCAGAGATATAGGCAGAGGGAGAAGCAGGCTCCCTGCAGGGAGCACAATGCAGGCCTCAAAACCAGGACCCCAGAATCACAACCTGAGCAGAAGGCTGATGCTCAACCACTGAGCCACCCAGGCATCCCTACCTTTACTGTATTTAGCAAAAAGTATCAGTCCAGTGGAAGTTTTCTAAAAAGAAAATACTGGTCCTTTACAGATTAAAAATCACTGTTGCAGAGTTCCCTGCTTCCCTGCACTAGGAGAGTGCACGATTCTATGCTTCATATCACATCACTGCCTAAGAACTATTTGATTAGAAATAGTATTCAAACTCATCGACCACAGTACTAATGGGGTCAGATTAGCAATAATGACTTGAATTTCCCCTGTTTTTCTGCCTACCAGGCCTACTAAGGAAATGAGGACACCTCTAGCTTTCCGGGAGCCTCTGGGATGTGAGAGCTCTAGTACACTCACTCCTGGTTGCCCCCGTCCCCTGCCCTGCTCTCCTAGGTGCTGTAGGCTCCTTCCCAGAATCTGTGATACAAGCAAAACAGCCACAGCCATGGGGTAGCCTGCAGAAATGGAGATCACGGTGTTGACCTCCTTTAGGGGAACCCCGAGGCAGATTGCTTGTGCCCGCTATCATGGAAGGTTCAGTGAAACAGCTCTTTATGTTTTTACTCAGAGCTCTTTTTCTCTTAGAAACCCAGACATGCTTTCATGGGCCTAGCTAGATTGGCGACAAATTTGAGTAACAGCTACCCCAAGCTGTATTTATTACTCCCCATCCAATGACTAAGTCTTTCTTATAGAGCTTCTCTGTCTAATTCTCTTCCACTAAAATGAATTCTATTCTAGGAAGCAGTCTCAGCCCCCATGTCAGCAGGTTTCTTTCAGGCCTGCCTCACCAGTTTGTCAGACATGCCCAGACATGCTTGAACCCAGCAACAGACCCAGTTTAGAATCAAGCTGAGATTCCTGCTACACCATATGCAAGAGACTCCTGAAC